ATCCCTCCCCAGTATTCTCTGAAACTGTCATGGCCAGTTGTTAAGCGCAGTGGAATAGCAGAAGGAGTGCAGGAACCACGCACACACAGAAACTAGGAAAATCTGAATAATTAGTAGACTTAGTGTATCACTGTGGGTTCCTTAATGTAGCAAATGTATCACGTAATGTACAGTGGCAACAGTAGGAGGCAGGAAACGGGTGGATAGAACTCTGTACTCCTCCATTTCCCATAAATCTGAACTTGTTCCAAAAATATATATATTACTGAAAGAGTAAAAATGTATAGTTAATGTTAAAATTAAGTTTGGGGGCTGGGGAGACAGCTCAGCGGTCTAAGTGCCTGCCTGGCAAGTACCAAGACCCAGGCTCAATCCCTGGTACCACACACCACGTCAGCCCCAAAACCGAACGTGGTGGCACACACCTGTAATCCTAGCACTAGGGAGTGGAGAAAGGAGGATCACTACCAAGTTGCTAGTGAGACCCTGTACCAAATAAAAGATTAAAAGCTTATCAGAATAATTCAATTAAAACATGTATTATAATTTAACTGTATTTTTCTTAACTCAAACATTTTAGGAATTCACTCATGTTCACATAAATAAAGGCAGACCAGAAAATGAGACTTATTTAATTTTGATTTAATAAGAACAGCTGTCCTTTTATTTATTTGTGTTAAGTATAATGTAGCATACATTTTACTCTATAGGTTTATTTTTCCTAAACTGATTCTGGTTGGCAAAGTAGCCCCCAAATTTTTTTAAGAGTACATATTGAAGGACTGGTGAGATAGCTCAGCAGATAAAGCATCTGCTTAGGCAAGTGCAGGGACCGGGGTTTGCTGCCCGATCCCGCATGTCACACCAGCCCCACCTCAGGTTGCACTGGCCACTGAGACCAGCGTGGTGGCGAACACCTGTAATCCCAGCACTGGGAAGCTGAAAACAGGAGGATCACTACAAATCAGAGCTGCATAGTGAGACCCTGTACCATACATTGAAAAGAAAGAAAGGAAGGAGCTTAGCAGACTAAAGCACCTGCTTAGTCAGACACAGCAGCCGGGGTTCAATCCCCTGCGTGCTGTGCCACCCTCACCCCCAGTGCACACTGAGATGGGATTGAGACTGGGAGTGGTGGCATGTGTTTATAATCCCAGCACTTGGGAGGCTGAACACAGGAGGATCACTACGAGTCCAATCTACTTAGTGAGACCCTGTAGACCCTGTATTAAAATACAAAAAAAAAAAGTGTACCTTGACAGTACTAGAAACTTGGTTTTCCATTTCCTGGGAAATTTAAGAATATTCAGTTGCTGTAAGTACTTCATGTTTATAACACAAACCTCTTATTTGAGATTTTTTATTATCATATTTATCAGTGTCCTTTAGAGACAGAAAGCATTTCACAGACAGCACTCAGAGGGTCTTTGAAAGCCTTTCCAAATTGCTGACACAGTGAGGTTGAGGTTATAACTCTTCAGAGTCATGCCTGCAGCCATAGGTCCAGAGTAAGAAAAGATAAAAAAAAAAAAATTAAGCTACAAAAGCTTCAACTGAGGGTCAGCCTGATAGCTCAGCAAAGTAAAGCACCTGCTTCTGCAGAGCACAGAAGCTGGTTTCAATCCCCGGTATGTGCCAGTCCCACCCATGGGGCACACTGAGACAGTGATCAAGACTGGGTGTGGTGGCGCACGCCTGTAATCCCAGCACTTGGGAGGCTGAACACAGGCGGATCACTATGAGTCTGTAGTGAGACCTATAGACCCTGTATCCCCTGTACTGAGTAAATTTAAAAAAAAAAAAAAAAAAACTGTCAGCTGATTTAAGCACTGCTTAAGGACAAGCAAATAAGAACACTTAAGCCAAATTCTGTGTCATTTCTCAGCCAACATAGGATAGATCTCTACCATTCTACAGAAATCACTACATAGTTAAAGCATAAAACCAAACTCGGGAACACAGGGGTACACATCTGTAATCCCAGCTACTCAGGAGCTTAAGGCAAGAAAATCACAAATTCAAGGTCACCCTGAAGAAGACCTTGCCTCAAAAAGGGTTGAGGGCTGAGATTCCATCTCATCCCAGAAAGAATGGCTATCAAGAAGTCAGCCCATAACAAACGCTGGAGGAGCTGTGGGAAAAAGGAGCCCTTCTCCGCTGTTGGTGGGAGAGTAGACTGGCACAGCCACCGTGGAAGGCAGTGCGGAGATTCCCGAAAGCTAGGATTGGAGGTCCTGGTCAACTCAACTATTCCCGTCCTGGGGAGTTTTCCAAATGAACTGAAAAAAAATCATACCATAGTGATTTATGTGCTCCCATGTTTATAGCAGCGCAATTTGCCATTGCTAAATCTTAGAAACAGCCTAAATGCCCATCAGCTGAGGAATGGATAAAAAAGCTGTGGTATTTTTACACAATGGAGTGTTATTACTCAACTATAAAGAAAGATAAACTCAAGACTTTTATAGGTAAAAGGATGCAACTAAAGACCATACTGGTAAATGAAATAAATCAGACCTGCATGTGCAAACATCATACTGTCTTGCTTGTGTAAGAACCTGAAAGAGTAAATAAAATCTGAAAAGGTACAATAGGTACTGTGAAAGGGAAAGAATGTGTTCAATGGGAAGGAAAAACTGGGATGAGGAAAAGATGAAAGAAGGGAAAAATATATTTATGTATATATACAGTGTAACTTGAATAATCATACCCCTGATTTCTGCTGGTCTGTTGAAAGGAGCAAATGCTGCTTAAATTATTTCTGTTTTTTCCCCCCCAACTTCGAATGTTTATGTCTGGTAATCTAAACAACTAATTTGAAGTTAATATTATTAACTTCAATATAATTAACTTCAACCATTGTCAAATTCCTATTATTTTGATTAGTGAAATTCTGTATCATTTCTAATGTTTGGTGTTTTGGGTTTTTTTTACCATTTTGTATTCTCTTTAAAAAAATAAAACAAGGGCCTGGGAGATGGCTCAGAAGAATAAGCACTTCCCTGGCAAGCGCAAGGGCCTGAGTTCAATCCCCAGTTCCGCCAAAAAAAATAATAAAATAAAACAAGTTTTAAAAAAGGTTTAAGGAATGTAGTTTAGTACTCTCGGTTCAATTCCCAGCACCACTGATCAATATTTTTGCAAGCTGGGATTCATTGTGGGAGCCCAGGGAAGGGGAGGTACACTTTCTCAGCAATGCCTAGACAGCTGACTCTAGCTGGGCATTGTGGGACAGCCTCCGTGACGCTGGGCATGGAGGTACATGCCTGGAATCCCAGCACTCAGGAGGCTGAATAGGGGAATGGCTATGTGTTCGAGGCCAGGCTGGGCTACATAGCAAGCTCAGACAGCCTGGAACATATAACCAGATCTTGTCTCAAAAAACAAAGTTTACTGTTATAGGATAGTTTTTAGCCTTGTTTTATTTTGTTTTTAGGTAAAATCAGGAACACTTTTTTTTTACTGTAGGGAGGGAAGCATCTAGAGGGTGTTCAGCGTCTCACTACTAAATCGAACTCATAGTGATCCTCCTATTTACAGCCTCCTAAAAGCCATGAACACTTTCAACATTTTAACCCATTGAGTAATAATGAAAACGATGTTAAAACCAGCTCTTCCTGTCAGTTTTTAATTCCTAAAAACCTAGCAACTCCCTCCCTCTCTCCTACTTGCTCCTGCCCTTGTTCATGTCCTCATCTCTTTGTCTTGTTGGGTAGCACCCCAGCTTCTTCAGTGACCCTCTGATACACACCTTACCACTCAGCATTCAGTACCTCACTTTATGACCAGGTGGGCCCTAAAGAATGCAGGTCTGTTTGTGTCATCAGCGCCTCACCTAATCACCTTCCCCACCAAAGAAAAGTTTTAATAATGCTCATGTGTCACTACATCCAAAATGGGTCCTGAAACCCAAGTGTTTAATAAGCTTTCAAAATTATGTATGCTCTTAACAAGTTGGGAGTGGAATAAAATCCAAGCTCCTTAAGAGGTCAGATAATATTCTCCATGCCCTTACTTCTTGAATCTCCCCTCCTCCTTTACCCCTCCCTGCTCTGTCACAGTTCTGAGCTCGGGGGCTCCCAGTCCATTGCCCTCTCCTGAAGGATGTCAAATTCCACAGCACTCACCACCAGTGGTGCCGTCCTCTACATCCACTGTTCCCTTCCGTGGCTGTCTCTCTGTGGAGGCCTTTGGTGTGGCGGCACTCATCACGTGTCCATAGATTTGAACCACTCCTCCCATACAGTGACTCCCAACTTGAGAAGGCGCTGCCTGCTACCTCCTCCATTCAAGTTTTGCTCTTTGCTCTCACTCTGGGCTCAGTTCTCGCTCCAGATCCTCACTGAATCTTGGGGACCCACTTCCTTCCTCTTCCTCAAGTTACTATATTCCCGTATTTGGATGGCAGCTCTCAGAGATGCTCTGTCTCTGCTGCTTACAATGCCCACCATCTTCCCAGAAGTCCCTTGAACTATTCTCTGGGAATTCAGGTCAAGTTTAGACTCCTTTAAAAGCTTCCCCAGAAAGCTAGCATTCAGAAAACTGAGACAAGAGGACCAAAAGTTCAAAGCCAGTCTGGGCTAAATAGTGAATTTGAGGTTGGCCTGGACTACATAGTAAGACCTATCTCAAAACAACTACATGGGGGCTGGGGATTTGGCTCAGTGGTAAAATGCTTGCCTAGCAAGCTGGAAGCCCTGGGTTCAGTCCTCGGCACCAAAAACAAAAAATAAAAAACTACATGAAGTCTGTGTGAACAGCCTGTCCTCCCCAGAGTGATTTGTGTGCCCCCTCCGTGTCTCATGGCATCTGTGTGGAAATTATTCCTCTCTGCTCCTCTGCAAGGTGCTTTGAAGTTTTGTGTCACTGGATCATTAGTGCCTATTTCTATACCGAGTCTGTAACACAAAGCATTTGTCCACCTGAACCTTGGCCAAATAGAAACATCTCTGACCGTGGGGTCCAGCAATATGACTGAGGTAAGATGTTTCTCATTGCAGCTCCTGGTGGACCCATGTGGAAATGGGGCCTCCAGATCCCATCCTGGGAGTCACTGAAGCCTACAAGAGAGACACCAACAGCAAAAAGATGAACCTGGGCGTTGGTGCCTACCGCGACGACAACGGAAAGCCCTACGTGCTCCCTAGTGTGAGGAAGGTAAGCGCACATCATCTCCTGCCAGCTTGGCCTGAGTCTACTGAGCCGAGCTCCTAGACTGGCAGGAAGGGTGCAGGCAGGGACTCCTCAGCCCAGGACCCTGGTTCATGCAGCCTCACTTGAGTTTTGGCTGTGCAATCCTGAGATTGGAATCACAGTGTTTTCAAGCATGAACAGCTGTGGAGTCATCGCCTCTGGAAGTTACACAGAGCACCCAAGTTTGCACATTGTCTCTTGGCAATAGCAGTAGCCCTTGGTGGGTGACAGCTACTGTTCTTATTTTCCATTTCTCCCTTGTGATTACTTTCATGGACCCCTTGTACATACTCACGCTCTGTTTGTCCTTCCTGAAGAACAATAGAATACTTTTTCTCATTCTCATTTTTGCTCTATTCTTCTGAGTGTTACTATTAGCTACATAGTTTCTGTTACAACCTTATTTTTTTTTAACTACAAGAGCACAAATGCACTTTTATTTTTCATTAGTTTAAGTTTTTGTTTGGTTTTTTTTTTTTCCCGGAACTCAGACCCTTGCACTTGCCGGGCAAGCGCTTGTTCTGCTAAGCTATCTCCCCGGCCCTAGTTTAAATTCTTGAGGGTACAGCATCACATGGATTCAGTGTCCAACAGCCTTAGCAGGCCAAAAATTGTTTCAGAACTTGGCATGATCCCTGCCGCTGTTTCCATGGGCCCGAGTTGCTTTTCCCCAGATCACTCTGGTTTTGTTTGGTTTGCCCCCTGCAGTCACTGTGTTGTTTTTCACTTTGTACACAAAAGTACATGTCTTGCCCAAGTAGAATTCAGTTTCATCCCTGGGCATAAACACCTTCATTTTTAAGAAGAGCTGTGTGTTCCCTCTGGTTCCAGAGGCCCTGCTTGTAGCCAGCAAAAATGGCTTGCACACAGTCTTCCAGACATAATTGCCTTTTAGAAGTCCTGTTCCAGGGCTGGTGAGATGGCTCAGTGGTCTAAAGCACCTACTTAGAACAAGCTAAACTAAGCAAA